TTCAAACTTATGATTTAGCACCTTAGAAGTATCCAAGTTCGAAATCTTCCAAGGAAGGTAGCTAAGGCCGAATTTCTTCTCATTTTTCCTTCCAAAACCGAAACCACACCCAAGGTGAGCTTCATACCCCCTATTTTTCTTTTTTTATAAGTTTTTGTGGGGTAGAATACAAGCAAATGTGTAGATCTATTTGTTCATGTATGCCTTGTGTGATTTTTATGCTTGTATGTATGATTTTATGTGTTATGTGATGAATATGTTAGCCAAAAATACCTAAAAACCGAGATCTACCACATGAGGAGTGAAAAAAACATAACTTATACCATTTTACACTAATCAAGTCAATAAAAATAATTTATTTGGTTAGGATGAACATTTTTGGACATAAAACCCATTTTTGGGCTCAAATTGTCAAAAATACAAAAGCTAAGGGCCCAAAACGACAAATGATAATTTGTGGAGGTTGGAAAGAGTCCAAATAGTTTCTAATAAAAAATTTCTGAAAATCAACACTTTTGAGGGGCTTAAAATGTAAATTTTGAACCTAATGGGCTAAAAATGGGTTTTTCGGCCCAATAAGCCCCAAATTGCGAAAATTCTGAAATAGAGGGGCTGAAACTGCAAATTTATGTAAAACAGGGGACTACTAGTGTAATAAAACTAATTCAACGGTCAAAAAGGTTTTCAAAGTCAAAAGGGATCAAAAATGCAAAAATTTCCATTTTGGGCCAAAACTGTAAAGTTGCGAAAATAAGGGTTCCAACCGAGAGAAAATCATTTTTGAAGGACTTAAGCTGTTTATCAAGTAAATCTAGGCTGAAAATGTCTTTTTAATAAGTTTTCATACTAAAGTGTCAAGAAAAATGGTTTAAGGACTAAAATGGAAATTCTTTTATATAAAGCGTTAAAAGTGTAAATTTTATCCAAGAAGGGTCATAAAAAGGTAAACTCTTATTAAAAAAAATCCCTTAAGATAAAATGCGAGTACCACGACTATTGGCGAAACGTAATAACAAATACGCTTTCAACACCAATATCGTTATCAAATGAATTGATTCGATCTCGAATCAATAACGAATCAAAAATCAATAAACAATAAGTACTTCAATAAACACGCGAAATTCACGAGAAGTCAATATTCAATCTTTGGGCTTGAAAGTTTCAAACCGTGCTTGTTGGGCCTAGCTAGCCCAATAACATGATCTTTGGGCCCGAAGGGAACGCACTTACATGTTATTGGGCCTTCTATGACCTAATTCCATGTAAAAGGACTTTCGATAGCTTTATTGTGCTGTTGGGCCCCAAGGGCCCATTGGTACTGCTAGCAAAGTCGAGAAGTCAAATGCGAGTCGGGCCTAGTGCCTTCTGCATTCACGATAGCCTTGAACGACTTATGGAAATAACGAGGGCTTCGTACCCTCTTTTCTCCTCAGTTGTGGGGCTATGAGAAGTCAGGGTGGTTGGATTAAGTGAGCCTTACGGATCACGCCAAAAGGATCGTTTGTAATTGGTAGTTATAAACTAGTCATTTTCGTTAATGCGTGATTATAACAACTCACAACCCATAATTAACCCAATGTCACCTGGAATTATCGGAAACAATCGTCGAATCGGTATAACAATAAACAAGATACGAAATTTTATGTACGAGGAAAACATCGGGTTTTCCCGGGAAGTTCAACACTTTTATCTATGTGATGTATACAAGGTTTAACAATTATACACGTTTACAAAAATCGACAAGCATACTACGGATCTCCACACTTTTTATAAACAATAATCTTTTCAGGAAATATCGGATTTTCTGGGTTTTCAAACTACACAAAAATCATTATTTTTCAAACATGACTTATGAACTCACCAACATTTCATATGTTGACGTTTTCCAAAATATTTGTATTCTCAGGTAACAGGTAAATTGAAGAATATGTATCCAGTGATGTCACGGTGTTTTGTTTAAATTAGTATCGAACGGTTTAAGTTATGGAAATGTAATGTTTAAAACAATGTACTGAATGTAAACAATATCAGTTGTAATGTTTCAATGCTTGGTGATGAATGATGTTATGATTCATGTATAATCATTGTGATGGTATTCAATTGAGTCACAATAGCCCTCGGACGTTTCCGCCGTCTGGTTCAGGGGTGTGACACTTATGTATGAAAAAGATTGGGTAAATTACACCATTCGTCCCTCGTGCACATGACAGAAAGCGTGTTTAGTCCTTATTTTTAAATTTTAACTCGGACCGTCCCTTATTATTTTAATACATGTACGCTTCGTCCTTCTTTGATTTACATTTACACGTTGTATCTCTTTCCAACTATAAAATGACTATATTGCCCTTAATATTTTATGGGTAAATTACATCAGTCGTCCCTCGTGGAGGTGCCAAAAAGCGTGTTTAGTCCCTATTTTAAATAATTAACTCGGACAGTCCCTCGTTTGTTTAAAACTTGCACGTTTAGTCCCTATTACCATAAAATGACTATTTTACCCTTAATAATTTCTTTTTTTTTATTTTGTTTTATTTATTTATTAGTTTTAAATAGAAAAATAAGAAAACAAATATCCCTGCCCCTCTCTTTTTCATTTCCTACAACAAGATTCTCCGGACCCACCACCACCTATCACCACCAGCTCTTCCGACACCACAACCTATCATCACTAGCTATTCCCCTATTTAGCGCCTTATCCATAACCCTAATCTCACAAAAACGACCATCGATTTCACAAAAAACCACCATTATCACCAATCACTGCCACCAATCTCCACACAAAACTACCATCGGGACCATCACCTACCTTACTTTATCTGCTGATCTTTACATGATCAAACTTGTAACTCAAAAGAAAGAAGAATGGTGAATAAGAATCTATGATTGAGAGATACAGGGGCGAAAGGTGGGTGATAGAAAAACATACATCTGCGATCGATCCACCCATCACCTTCACGCTAGATTCGATTGCAACTGTGGAGCTTGATGATCTCCATATCTCTGCCAATTTGCAATGATGCAGGAAAAGATCGAAACCCTAGCCGCCGTCGGTGGCAGTTGTGGAGCTCGACGCATATGTCGAAACCCTAACTGTCGTTGATGGGATATGTCAAAACCCTAGTGGTGGAGAGTTGTGTTGATTTGGAGACGAAGACTGCGACACTGTCATCAGGCGGTGATCATCAATCGGAGAATCTAAAACGATGGGGGGTGAGTACTAGATCATCAGTGATTGGAAATAAACAAAGGAACTTCGTCTAACTTCACCAGTTCAAACGTTGATGGTCGTCGATGGTGATGAAACGATATTACACAGACAACAGGAGGTTGTTCATCACGGAAGAGAAGGTAGAAATTCCAGAATGAAATACCCATCACTGTCATTCGTGTGAAAATGGAGAAGAGAGTGAAACTGTGGAGGAGGATGAGTGTAGGAGAGAGAGAGAGAGAGAGAAAGAGAGAGAGAGAGAGAGAGAGAGAAAGAGAGAGAGAGAGAGAGAAAAGTGGTTGTAATATTTTCTGGCGTATGAGAGAGATAGAGATTTGAGAGATTTGTTTTTATTTTATTTTTTTATTAATAAATAATATTAGATTAATTAAAAATAAATATCCAATGGCATAATGGTCATTTCAAATATGATGTGGATTACATTTGCAACAAAAACACATATCAGGGACGAAGCGTGCAAGTTTTAAACAAATTAGGGACGGTCTGAGTTAATTTTTTAAAATAGGGACTAAAGATGTTTTTTAGCACCTACACGAGGGACGATTTGTGTAATTTACCCATATTTTATTATTACATTAATCATAATTTAGTTTATATTATTAAAAATTAAATACCCTAACCCAGCCTCCTCGTTCCCTTTCCCCCTTTCCTTCTATATTCATTCTAAACCCCACAATCACTTCATTGGATTCATCTTTTGCCGAGGAACATTGCCTCAAAATTTTCATCTCTTCCGGCGAGCATCAAGATACCCCAAATGAAGAATGGTCGACCACTCTTTCTTTCTTTTCCGGTCTCACTTAAGAACTGACTCTTTCTTTCTTCTTTGTTCAAATCGGAGTAAGAGGCGGCTAGTATCTCCGACGACATGGTTACAGAGGGAAGAGGGGCTGAAGACCATTTTAATTTTGTTCAAATCGGTACCAAGTGCAGATTTTTCAGGTATGATAAAATATGAACTCTAGTTTCTTTCTTTCTTTTCTGTTTGTTTTGTCAATTCACAGACTTCAAACTCATAAATATGCAGGGGTGTTTTTCCATTTCTTTCTCTCATCATTGATTTCAATTTCGGAATTTATGGTGTGGATCTCAACACCAATTTTGATATGTATGCGTTTACTGGAGCTCTAGGGCTAGAACTCATGTAAAGTTATCAGACCACCATATTGAACGAAGCTCTAGGTTCGAATGTGAGACGGTTTCATATATAATGTAAGATATATGACTGGATTATGGTCTAGAGGTGATTGGTGGTGTCAGAATAGGTATATGGTGGTATTGTCAGAATAGGTAAGAGGTGGTGGTGATGGAATAAAAGCAGGAAACAAAGGGTGAAAAATAGAGTATGTAAGGTGGTGGGACCCACTGAGATGGTAGGGTGATAGGTGGCGGTGCAGAGGTGCTGTTGGTGATAAGCGGTGGTGTCGGGGAAATGAAAATAGATGGACAGGGATAAATTGTTTTACTTTTTTTTTTAATTAAAACTGATAAATAAACAAAATAAAATGAAAAAAATAAATAAATTATTAAGGGTAAAAAATCATTTCATGTCAATAGGGACTAAACATGTAAGAAAAACAAACAGAGGGATAATTCGAGTTAATTTTTGAAAATAAGAACTAAAGACACTTTTTGATATGTGCCGAAGGGATAATGATGTAATTTACTAAAAAATATTTCTTTAATTTATTTATTCCTATTTTCTTTTCTTTTCTTTTTTATGTTATATGCCGAAGTTCGGAAATCAGGCGTGTCTAAACCGCATTGTAGGGTCGTATTTAACCCCCGGTCCAGTCGTATCGGTCGTAAAAAGTCGAGTGTTCGGGTTTCGCCTCTGCGTTTTCTTCTTCTCCCCCCGATACTCATCCAAACCAAAATCTTCAACCTGATTGTTCGAAACTTCAATCTAACGAATGGGGCCTCCTGTCAGACCGAACAAGCAGTCCTTCGGTACTGCCAATGCTATTGGGAAGCAAAACCTATTCGAATCATCATCGGATGCCATGTTTAACAATCTATGGGTCGGCAATTTGGCCGCCGACGTTACAGATTCAGATTTGAGGAATCTATTTGAGAAACACGGTGCCGTTGATAGTGTTACCTGTTATCCGTCAAGGAGCTACGCCTTTGTCAACATGAAGCGTCCGGAGGATGCAAAAAGGGCAAAAGAGTCCCTTCAGGGCTTTGTTTTGCGTGGGAGCGCGCTGAAGATTGATTTTGCCAAACCGGTTTGTATCGCCTCATTAGGTTTTCGTGGTTGTTCTTTCTTATTAGTTTTCCGAGGAATGTTATTATATATGGATCCAAGTTTTGTATATGTGTTGTTGATATATAGTTCGCACACAACAATTTTCGTCTCTTAATAACTCTAAATTTGAACAGGGAAAGGGAAATTTTAACCGAGATGTTAGGTAATTCGTCTAGGGTTTCTCGAAGACTTTTTTTTTTTTTTTTCTCAAAAACAAACCATCAAAATGAATTTTCTTATACGGTTCAAGATACAAAGTAGGAATTAGAGAACACATTCAAACACTAGTGAAATAGTTTGATATAGTATCAGTTGAACAACACTCTATGAAGTGGATTTATAGGCAAGTAAATCAGGACAATATTGCCTTTGTTTGCTATCTGACATTCTAAGCAGATCATATATTCGTATTATTCACAATCTGGCGCTATTAGTTTTACCCAATTTCTCAAATTTACTACATACACTGTTGCACGATTTTGATAGAACTAGTGTTGGGATAGGATGCCCTCACTAATTTTGTTCCCCTCTTGGAATCGATCAATAATAAACCGTACATTATATTACTAATCCTGGTAAACTAATACAAAGAATTCCCATAGATATAGATATCTAGCAGCCTTTTGGCTCTGAGAACATATGTGCAATGATAAGGGAATAACATGATTATCTTTACCTTACTAAAACTTCCCACTTAAGTAATAAAAAGTGATGGGGTTTCAAGTCTTCATAAGTCCAAAGACGTAATCTACTTACTATCTGTCAAAGGGTTCTGCTAAGCAAGCAGATGCATTATTTGACACCTAAGCAAGTTCTTTTTCATACAATAATGGAGGCATAACTGCAATACAAAGTAAGACAGTTTAGTTGAATTAAGGCCACTAAGAACTAAACGTTTAACTTTCAATATAAATATCACTTGAATATGCTCACAAATCCCGGGCTAAACCAGGGTGGTCTACAACTTATACACTAAAGAGTAGATATCAATCATCTATTTTCTTCTTAAAGTCAAGCAAATAAAGTTCTGTGTTTGAGTTTTTTTAAAAGAATCAACAAAAGAGTTCTTCTCTAGAAGGTGCTTATCTTACTGTAGTAAATGTTTGAACTAGTTGTTTTTAAAAGACAAGTATTTAAATAATATGCAATCATATTCAAGCGCTTCCTCATATCACTTGGAGAACTCCAGTTTAATAGGACACATAGGCTTCCAACCAAATATAAAATAAAGGAGATTAGTTGGGGTTTAAACTTGTAACTAGATGAAGAAACTATGCGACCTAACATTCGTTAACCAATTATGGAATTCAATTCAGGGCAATTTGAAAAATATTCTGCTCAAACTGAAATATTCTTCTTTGTTTTTACCTAGTTGCTTTGAGTCTTATTTAAAACAAGCAAACATTGTTATACATTTGAACACAAACTAGGTCCATATGATTATTTTTCTAATCTTATAGAAACTTAAAAAGTTGGGGGTATTAGAAATCAATTTACAACCTTCTTCTGAGTTGACTGGGATGTGGAGTTATGGATGAAATTGCAAATTACTAGTTGACTTTACCTCCCAATTGACTTCTCCTCGTCATTTCACTTGTCTCAACTCTCCACTTGGAAGTAAATTCTCAAACCCTTTGTGTAATTGTACTGATGGAACAGGAAAATTCGTCATTTTAAAAAGTAATTACCTTTTTATATATATTAAGTTATTCAAATAAACTGTGTAACGTGTCTGCATACACCCCGCTTAGGTAGAAGGTCACTCAACTGCCTAGTTTATGGTTACAACTTTCTTCAAGTTAACAATTAAAGCTGCTGGAGTTTTTGTTCTTTTCAAATGATTTTTTCTATGCAAATGTGATAATGTGATGAAGCAACTTCCAATTTGTAAGAATAGTTCACCTTTATCTTTTTGTTGTCAATTGAAGCAATTCCCAGTGGGTTGTGACTTTGTTTGTATGATTGGCCTTTTTATCAACAATGTTTAAGCTTTCTTGTTGGACTACAAAACAAACATCTAAAGGCCAACAAATGAACCAAATGGTTAAATATAACTTAATTTGGGACATGATCATTTTCCAGTTTCCTTTATACTGTAAACTGTTAAGTCTCTTTTAATCTTGTTCCCATTTTCTGAACTATTTAAGTCCCAGTTAATCTTGTAGTTGTATAGTTATATTCTGAAGTACATATGTTTGATTTATCTATATTAACATCTATTTTATGCCATAACCTTTTGCCATGTAAGTTAATTTTATATATAAATAATTTGTTTATTAAATACAAACCCTTCTTAGGTGAATGATAATCGGTTTAATTAGCACACAAACTGTTTTCATCTTCTCTTTTTTTGTCACCAGAACAGAACGTATACCATGCTAAGTGTTTCTCAATTTGTTACTTCTACTTAGTTTGTTGATTTCAAATCATAGCCACTACACATTTTTATTCTGCTTTTGAGGGCTTGTTAGATTGTTCAATCGACTTCCATTATTTTAAAATCTGTATAGTATCAAAGTTATTAATAACATCGTGATCAAAATCAAATTATTGACGCTATATCATTATGTTTTATCAAACAGTTTTTTCCATTAGATAATTCATACAATCAGTTTTATAAGCTCTTGACATTTAGATTTTTCATTGAAAATACTCTGTTGAACAATCATTTTATATTCAGCACCCATTCTACACAGAGGATTAAAATGATAATTTTTTTTTATCATTGATACTTCTTATTCTGCTTACTTATAAAACAATACACACAGAGTCAACTTTCTAATGCTAATTCCTGAATGTAATCTACCCTCTTGAAAAAATAGAGAAAAAACTCAATTAGGATGTCATATCAATTTGAACAATATCAGCAAAACCACAAGCCTAAAAATATGGTAGTGGTTTCAGCTTTTTGATGAGAAGATGATGTATAGTTTTTTATAGGTATTTAGGCTCACTTTTTTCTCGGTGTTATTAGCTCTGAGTGTAGTATTTATATCTTATTGGCAGGCTAAACCCTGCAAGAGTCTGTGGGTAAGTGGCATCAGCAGTTCCACTACCAAGGAAGATCTAGAGGAAGAATTTTCCAAATTTGGTAAATTTGAGGATTTCAAATTCCTAAGAGATAAGAACACAGCGTACATTGATTATTCCAGACTAGAGGATGCATCAAAGGCTCTTAAAATGATGCATGGCAAGAAAAGAGGGGGATCTGTCATTCGTGTCGACTATCTAAGATCTCAACCCAAAAGAGTAAGCCATTGGTTCAAATTCAAACTCCTCTGAAGTTAGTTAATACTAATGACTATTGTTAAAAGAATTGGGAATATAAGGGTAAAATGGTCATTTAGTTTTGTTGAGATGGTTTATTCAGTCTAGAAAAGAAAAGTCATTTATCTACACAGCACTTTATCCATACAGACTTCATTGTCCATTCAACCACTTCACCCATACAGACAGGACTTAATGGGGATGGTTACATTTCCACATATAAGTAACAATCCCTACCCTTTTAACAACATTAAAAACAATGGAAAACAGGAAAGGAGCTTTTGTATGCTCAACATGTATTTGCATATTTGATCCTGTTTTGATCCATATATGATATAACAGGACCAGGGTCCTGATTTCCGTGATGCAAAGGAAGGACAGCATTTCAGAAGTATGGGTCCACATGATTCAGCATGGTTGCCACCAGATAGTGTTAAAAATTACCCTGATTCTTCATATTATGGTCCCAAAAGGCAACAGGTTATAACCTAGTTCTATTTATGCCCTTTTTGCATTTCCACAGAATTAAGGATATGGTATCATTCATCTTTCTGTTTTCACATTTTTGTTTATTGCAATGATGGGGTATTTTGGTCTTTTAATAAAAAAAGAATGGAACTGAGTAGCTTTCAGGAATATGAAGGGAATTGTATTCATAAGCACGAAACCGAATAGAATCTCAAATGAATTCTAATTTACATCCTTTGTGGTGTGGTGTTTTTACAGCATAATATATTGGGCATGGAAGGTCGAAAAGGAGACGGAGAGCAACCAAGTAATGTTTTGGTAATATCATATCCTCCCATCGTTCACATTGATGAACAAATGTTACACAATGCCATGATTTTATTCGGTGAGATTGACGATATCACAAGCTTTCCTTCAAGACATCATTATCTTGTTGAATTTAGAAGCATAGAAGAGGCACAACTCGCTAAAGACGGACTACAAGGCCGTTTGTTTAACGACCCCAGAATCTCAATCACGTATGCAACCAACGACCAAACACTCCACCCTCATGGAATCTTTAATGAACCACCACCACCACCACACTTGGATGCATATGGTCACCCTGTATTAATACCAAATAGGCCTTATGTAGGAGGAGGACCTTTTGTCCCTCCAGATATCTTTGATCCTCCAGAGTTTCCTATGAGTATGAATCCAATGGGTGTAGGTGTAGGTGTCCCTAACTGGAGAAGATCTTCCCCTAATCCATCTCCTGGTCCTGGGACATGGGATGTTTTTGATGGGACCCATTTGCATAGGGAACCTAAAAGACTAAGAACTGAGGCTAATATACCTTTGAGAGATCAGGATCCATATGGTGGTGCTGCTGCTGGTAGACATGCAAGTCATCCTGGTTGTGACTATATTTGGCGAGGTGTTATTGCTAAAGGTGGAACTCCTGTTTGTCATGCTCGTTGTGTTCCTATTAGAGACTGGATTGGATATGAGATGTAAGTCATTTTCCTTTTATCTCCTATTCACTAAAAATACTTGCTGGCTCGTCTCTTCTCTCTCTCTCTCTCTAGATATATATATATATCTATTAAGATGAAACAAGTAGTTCCATTCCATTGGAAGAAAAGACATGTATGTTTCGTGTGATGGAATGGAATGAATGTGATTCCTTCCGTTATGTTGATTTAAATATATATTCCTTCACTAGGGGCTGTTTTTAATTCATGTAAACTTTAGAACATTCCATTATTTTAATTAAATAAATTATGGTTCTAATTTTAAACAATCTATATGAAAATTCATTCCAACTAAACATGCTCATGAAACATAATGACTCATTCCATTACCTCGATTCTTCTATTATTCATTACATCCATCCAAACAGACCTTTGGTTACTGTTTTTGGAAGTAACTGTCAAAGGAATTGGAATCTGTCATTCGTTTGGTTAGGGCAGGAAGCGGATTGGAATTCAATAATGCAAATCGAATAATCTTTACTTTTCAGATATGATTGAAGTTCTTACACTTGTTTATTTCAAAACCCGTATATATAATATGAGTAGGGTATTTTGGTGTTTACTATAAAAAAAAGAATGAAATTGAATTTCTGGTGAGGCTCATCAAACATGGAATCTACATTTGGCAACCAAACGTAACATACATACACATGAATGAAATCTTGAATTGCGAATCCATGAACCAAAGATGCCCTTATTAAATTAATATAAGAAAATAACAAATTATAGTTTCGACTTTTGACCCTGCAGCCCAGAAGTGGTTAATTGCTCAGCCAGAACAGGATTAGATATGCTAGCAAAGCACTACACAGACGCAATCGGATTCGATATCGTTTTCTTCTTGCCAGATAGTGAAGAAGACTTTGCTTCATATACAGAATTCGTACGTTATTTAGGTGACAGAAACCGGGCCGGGGTCGCTAAATTCGATGACGGAACTACCCTTTTCCTGGTCCCACCTTCCGATTTCCTTTCCAATGTTTTAAATGTTTCCGGCCCCGAACGTCTCTATGGAGTTATCCTCAAGTTCCCCCAACCACCACCTCAATACATCGATAAACAGCAGATCCCTCCTCAAAATGACTACAATGTAATCATGCCAGGTGGCGGGGAGAAGCATAGCGGTGTCCCACTCCCACATGAAGGCTTAAAGTCACCCACTCTTCCACCACAACCGGTGGTTATCCCGTCATCTACGCCGCCCGGGCTCTCTTTAACACCTGAACTTATCGCAACTCTCGCTTCTTTGGCCAAAGGAAAGTTTAACGCTGCGGCTGCCCAACAACAACCTTCTGCCACGTCAGCATCAGCATCAGCATCGGAGAGACCGTGGGAATATGAACCTGAACCTAGTGGACATTTAATGCAACAAGCTCAGCCACAAGTTCCACCTGGTTACGGAGGTCAAGATGTGAATTTCACCATCCCACAAGGCCAATCTGGTCAATTTGCAGTTCCAAGCCAGCAGCAATATGTTCCCAACTTCACGTATGGATTTGAACAGAAGCCGGATGCTTTAAGTCAGGTTTATGGTGGTGGTGGTGGTGGTGGTAACGTTTATCAACCACAAAGTATGGGAGGCGAACAAAAGACGGATGCGCCCTTGGGAAGTCAGATTTATGGTGGTGGTGGTGGTTACCAACCACAAAATATGGGAGGAGGTGAGAACGCTGCTGGTGGTGGTGTGCAGCTGCCGGAGCAAATGCAGCAGCTTCAGTCTGCACTATATGCAGCGAGTCAACAGCAACCGGTGGCTGATTTTGATGCTGATAAAAACGAGAGATATCAGTCAACACTGCAGTTTGCTACCAATCTCCTCCTCAAAATACATCAGCAGCAGCCAGGGCAAGGTAGTGGTGGTGGTGGTTCTCTTCACTGAGACTGAGGTATTATTATCAATCAATCCCATATATTTTATTTTTTTTAATATCATAAATGAAAATGACTTTTAGTAATTGACTTAGAGTCTAAGATTTTATTTGATTTTTTCATCAAGGCCCCGTTTGTGTTTGTTACACTGGGGGACAAAAATTGCAAGTTTTTGTCTTGTGTCTTGCCCAAAAAGGCTTCGTGATCCCTAAGATGGAAATAGCCCTAGAAAACTTGTCCAGTCATGTAACAAATGCATCCATCTTTGTGTATGCTTTCTCCATTTTGTGGACCTAGTTTTATAAACTAGGTTTGGAGACTTTTTTTTTTCTTCTTCTTTTCTTTAGGAAGTCAATTTGACCATATTGACCATGCATGCTATGTATGTGTGCATTTTAAGGTTAGTTAATTTGGAATAGATTAGTTTTGAACTCATAACGGATTTTAAAGCATATCCATCCTACGACGGCTTTCTAGTTCATTACCACATTGTGTACATGAAATCAGATATTCAAATGGAGGACTATCCGTTCAAGCGATTTGTCTTTGTATTGGTTATATGGCCATATATGTGTGCGTTTATCAACATTTTTTTTTTGTAGTTTTTATTTTCTCTATGATGGATACGTCAATAGGCGATTTAACAATTTCATTAAAAATACCATGATAAACATCATCTTTTTGTCAATAGGTGAATAATAATTTTGTTCAAAATACCAAGATAAACAAGGATATATCGTATGTATCATGTATCTATATGTATATACAATCTAAAAGATACACTTGAGTCGGTCGCATACGGTAGAAGAAGCTAAAAGATTATCTTTGATTCGATTGACACCCTAATCCCCCCCCTTTCGACGCCTTGGCAAGTAATCTTACCTAGCATATTTAGTTTATCAATAAAATATGCTTTCTCGGATGCAAAAAAGTAGATAACAAAATACAAATCCAACATCAAGTAACAACATTAATAATTATTAAATATATGCTTTCTTACTTTTAAATTGGTGATTGCCTTCGATTTATCCCGTGTATTGCAAATCGTGCATCTCATCAAACAATCTAATAGGCAGTTGTGTACGAGACATGTTCGTGGACGCTCATTTGTTGACACTTGGCAATGAATAGAAAACCGGCAATGAAGAGGCTTAAATTGTTAAAATTTGTGTATTACACATAGACAATTGTTAACAAACATCTTCATATAATTTTAGCAAATACACATGTCAATCGCTAGATCTAAACTACTAATGTTTGCATAATTTATATATCATAAATATCACAAGCTTCTTATTTTTTTTTTCTAAGTAAAATTTGTGTCTTTTTGAAAAAAGTCACTCAAAATACCGATAGTATCATGAATTTGAATATTTGTCTAACGTACAAACGTGTAAGTGATACAAAGTCAAAACGTTGGGGGTATATAAATTATTGACATCATGTTGTAAATAAAGCATTTTTATAAATGGCTAACACGATTGTGTACTTAATGTGAAGTTGTAGGGTGAGATGGGGTTCAATCATATGGTTTTGATACGATCAATGAATGTGGTGCATTTGGCATATCTTTCTTGGTTTGGACGACGTCATGTATATTGTTTCTTTGCGGAGTTGGCTTGGTTGGAAGATGGTGTGTTTGTTTTTCTTTTTATTTTAGGAGTCAATTTTCCGTCAACATCTTTTCTATTACACCAGTAACAAAGTAACTCTGTCAAAGAAATAGTTATGGCTTATGATAGCTCTTTTTAAACTATGCTCACAAAATGGGCTATGAACTTATTGATTTTGGTTTATGCTAAAAAAAACTTTGAGCTTTTTAGAATTGAAACTTAATGAGTTATCAATATGTGCTTGATTAAATGTTGTAGGAGAAGTAAATGTGTTATTCCGTCAAGTAACCCCTCGGCTAGCTCACACCCTCAAGGGTCATTATCTAAGATGTAAATTACGTACACATGTGTTAACTTGCTTGCATAAAAGGCGATTATACATACATTAATACAACACACATGTATATATGTATATGTATGATGGCTGATGACTTTCAGATGTATATCGTAACAACACAATTTATTGTAATTATGTCACAAATGATATTTATCTTCTTTTCAATCACAAATCTAAACTCAAAATTTTGCATCTATTTAGAACAGCAGAGAAAAATCTCATAAAACATTGGCTTTTAACGGTAATTGTCTTGATATATTTGTTACAAACACATAAACACGTAATTTTTCAAATGCTAGCCTCTTAAAAACATTATTTCTCATCCCTTTCAGTTTTGGTATAATTTGTTAAGATTTTAAATGCAACATGCTATGTTTTTTTTATTTATTTTTTATTTTTTTATTCTTTATGTTAGCCTATTAAATGTCTTTGTAAAAGACATTATCATTTTAATGTCCTAACTTTTGAATTTTTGATATTATGTACTTAATTTGCCAATTTAAATATAACGCAAAAAAAAAAAAATTCAAAATATAAATATACTTAAAAGAAAATCCAAACATTATTATTTAAGTAGTGAAAAAAAGTTAAATGCATTTCTAAATGCAAAACCGTAGTACCAAATTAACTAAAAAAAGTTATCCAAAACTTTTTTTTTTTTATAATCATGAAAATTTTCCAAAAAAATAGCTTTAAAAATAATAGTAAAAGTTAAAAGATAATATTAAATTAAAATTTATATTGTTATCTTAAAAACCAAAAACAATATTTAACATTTGAGATAATCATAATGATCAATATTGAATAGTTGATAAAAAGATTATTTTTAAATTAATTTTACCTTGACAATGGTTTAAATAACAATACTTTAAATATTATATTTAATTTTATTTATGTGTAAATTGTAACACCGGAAATTTAAAGCCAAATTTTTTTTTTTTTTATAAAAACATAATTCCGTTAATATTCATAAAAACAACCATTTACTTGTTCCTCATAAAAACAACCATTTTAATAGTTCAACATAACAGTACAAAATCCCAAGATCAACATGTAAAAACTCCAAACGTGTGTGTACGGATCAAGCCGGCGCCTTCCCGCGGTCGTCACTAGCACCTGAAACAAATAACATCAACACTGTAAGCACAAAGCTTAGTGAGTTCCCCAAAATACCACATATAACACATATTAGCCACTCGAGACTATAACTCTGTGGGTCCGTGCACCCAAACTCTGTGAACCCTCAGGTTCTAGCTCTGATAAACATGCACCACATAAATCACATAGAAATAATGCAGTACAACACGTAACATACATAGCATACAAATACTCTATCACATAACTCTGGTTACCTACTCAAGGTAAAGTATAGTGAGAAGACTCACCTCGATGTCTCGGTAAATATCTGACTCGGAAGAAGTGTGATCTAGCCTCCACCTAATCACATAAAACTCTCATAAATACAACTGTACTCAACCCTAAAAGTCAACAAGGTCAACGGTCAAACTTTGACCTGACTCGTCGAGTGCACTAGGGCGACTCGGCGGGTCTACACGTGTCCACTGACTCTCTTAGATCCTCTCTTGGCACGTCGAGTACTCCCCTTGATCCGACGAGTTCCACCTAGCATGAATCGTGGGGCCACCCCGACTCAACTCGCCGAGTCTCAGAATAACTCGGCGAGTTCCAACTTGAACTTAGACCCCTGACTCTCCCTGAATCACCGAGTCATTTCCCCCAACTCGGCAAGTCCACTCACTGAGTGATTAACGGGCCACCTTCATACTACTCGCCGAGTCCGTTCTTCGGACTCGGCGAGTTCATGCCATGCACGAACTCAAAACAACTTCTGAGGTCAGATCTGTTCCATACAATCATAGATCTGGCCTCCCCAAGCATGATAATCACGTAAAGTTGGGACCTTGACACACATATAACATCTAAATGGTCCAAAATGGTGCTTTAGCCCCAAAAATGGCATTCCAAGCTCAAGACTCCCAAAATGACTCATAAAGCTCCATGGGTTAAGGTCTCTGGACCTCTTTGGGTCCAGATCCAAAACACAACTCGAGAAGGGACCAACTACTCCACTTAATCAACCTCTAAAAGGGTTAGAAAACCCTAACACTAAGAATAAACACCAAAAAGTGAAGAAGGTCCGAGAATAATACCTCAATACAGCCTCTATGAGCTCAAAGACCACAAAAATCGCACCTCCTTCAGCCTCCTCTTGCCTTGAACACTTCCTTCTTGCAACAACACCCACAAAAGTTCAAGATTGGCCTCTCCTTCCTCACAAACGCTCTAGATCTCTTTAGGGTTTCTCTCTGGGGGTTGGGTGAGCACAAAAGTCGGCCATAAGGCCCTTTAAATAGGCCACAACCCGGAGATTTAGGGTTCCAATACACAGCGAGTACTCGCCGAGTCCATACCCTGGACTCGGCGAGTCCAAGTCCGCACCCCCGATCAGTTCTGCGTCCCTACTCGGCGAGTTCAAGCCCCAACTCGCCGAGTCCCTCTCACAAAATAACACAATTAAATTTATATAATACCTGAAAAAAAATCTGGATGTTACAACTCTCCCCCACTAGAACTGGACTTCGCCCTCGAAGTCCCACTCTAAAACAGCTCCGGATGCTGCTCCCGCATCATACCCTCCGGCTCCCAGGTCATCTCTGATCCCTTCCGATGTTGCCACTGAACCAACACCAGAGGTACCTCCTTGTTCCTCAAAACCTTGATCTTCCGATCCCTAATAGCCACTGGTCTCTCCGCATAATTCAGGCTCGCATCGACCTGGATATCCTCAAGTGGAACCACTGCCGACTCATCGGCTATACATTTCCTCAACTGCGATACATGAAACGTGTTGTGAATCTGCCCCAACTCTGCTGGCAACTCCAGCCGATAGGCTACCCGGCCTACCCTGGCAATCACATGAAACGGGCCTATAAACCGGGGCCCCAATTTGCCCCTCTTCCTGAACCAGATCACTCCCTTCCAAGGGGAGACCTTCAGGAGAACAAAGTCACCGACCTGAAATTCCAGCTCGGACCGGCGTCTATCCGCGTAACTTTTTTGTCGGCTCTGAGCGGTCAATAACCTCTGCCTGACCAGCTGTATCTGATCTGTCGTCTGATTCACGATCTCTGTACTGCCCATTACTCTTTGCCCCACCTCTCCCCAACATATGGGAGTCCGACACCTCCTACCATACAGCAGCTCAAAAGGTGGCATACCGATGCTCGAATGATAGCTGTTGTTGTAGGAAAATTCCGCCAGAGGCAAATACGTGTCCCAACTACCCCCAAAGTCCAGAACACAGGCCCGAAGCATGTCCTCGAGTGTCTGTATCGTCCGCTCACTCTGACCGTCGGTCTGGGGGTGGTATGCGGTACTAAAATGCAGCTTAGTACCCAACTCCTCATGAAATTTCTTCCAAAAACGGGAAGTGAACCGCACATCGCGGTCTGAAACAATCGAGATCGGCACCCCATGCCGAGATACAACCTCCCTCACGTAAACCTCTGCCAACTTCTCCGCCGAAGAACTCTCACTGATGGCAAGAAAGTGAGCGCTCTTGGTCAATCTATCCACGATCACCCAGATTGCATCAACTCCTCTGGCAGTCCTCGACAATTTGGTGATAAAGTCCATAGTGATCTGTTCCCACTTCCACTCGGGAACCTCCAATGGCTGCAACTTGCCATGCGGTCTCTGGTGTTCGGCCTTTACCCTTCGACAGGTCAAACACCTTTCGACAAACCACGCTACATCCCTCTTCATACAGGGCCACCAATACTCCTTCCTTAGGTCCAAATACATCTTCGTGGCCCCGGGGTGGATCGAAAATTTCGATCTATGAGCCTCCTCCATCAATGTAGCACGTGTACCGCCCACAAACGATACCCAGATCCTGCCCTGATAAGTCATAAGACCTCGACTATCCGATACAAACTCAGAAACCAATCCAACAACCCGCTCTCTCTTCTGCATCTCCGGATGCACGGCCTCGGCCTGAGCCCCACGAATGGCATCCAGGACTGGAGCTATCACGGTCAATCTCATACATACATTTCGCAGGGGAGTACTCTCCGCTCTGCGACTCAATGCGTCGGCTACCACATTCGCCTTGCCCGGGTGGTACAAGATCTCACAATCATAATCCTTGACCACGTCTAACCATCTCCTCTGCCGCATATTTAGGTTAGGCTGATCCATCAAGTACTTCAAACTCTTATGGTCCGTGTAAATCGTACAACGAACCCCATACAAGTAGTGCCGCCAAATCTTGAGGGCGAACACCACTGCCCCCAACTCCAAATCGTGTGTGGGGTACCTCGTCTCGTGAGGCTTCAACTGCCTCGAAGCATAAGCTATCACATGACCCTTCTGCATCAATACCGCTCCCAATCCTAGGATCGATGCATCACAGAATACCACAAAACCTTCCATTCCTTCCGGAAGGGCTAATACTGGAGCTTCACACAACCTCTGGCGAAGCGTCTCAAAGGAGGTCTGCTGCTCAGGACCCCATGCAAATGCCACACCCTTCCGGGTCAATCTGGTGAGTGGAACCGCAATCTTGGAGAAATCCTTAATAAATCTCCGATAATACCCTGCCAACCCGAGAAAACTCCGGATCTCAGAAGGTGACCTCGGCACCTCCCACCTCATCACTGCGTCAACCTTGGCCGGATCGACCAATATCCCCTTCTGGTTAACGAGATGTCCCAGAAACTGGACCTCCCGTAACCAGAAATCGCATTTGGAGAACTTTGCGTAAAGCTTCTCCGCTCTCAAAACCCCAAGCACCTCCCTCAGATGCTCCTCGTGCTGCTCTCTGGATCTCGAATATACCAGATATCATCAATGAAAACAATCACCGACCGATCCAACATCGGCCGACATACCCTGTTCATGAGGTCCATGAACACGGCCGGGGCATTGGTGAGCCCAAAAGGCATCACCACAAACTCATAATGCCCATAACGCGTCCTGAATGCTGTCTTCTGGACGTCCTCGTCCCGCACTCTCACCTGATGATAGCCCGACCTCAAATCTATCTTGGAAAACCAAGATGCTCCCTGAAGCTGATCGAATAAATCGTCGATCCTCGGTAGCGGGTAACGATTCTTGACCGTCAACTTATTCAATTCCCGGTAATCGATACACATGCGATGCGAGCCATCCTTCTTTTTCACAAACAGGATGGGTGCTCCCCACGGCGAGCTACTCGGCCGAATAAACCCCTTCCCCAGCAACTCCTGAAGTTGCGAGGATAACTCCTGCATCTCTGGAGGCGCAAGGCGATACGGCACCTTAGCAATAGGCGCAGCTCCAGGAACCAAATCGATGCCAAACTCTACTTGCCTCACGGGAGGCACACCTGGTAACTCTTCGGGAAATACATCTGGAAACTCCCGCACCACCGGAACTTCATCCACAGAGCTCGGTCTCTCCGAAATCACTCGCGTATCCATCACATACGCTACATAACCCTTACAGCCCTGCTGTAAACACTGCCTCGCTCTAGCAGCCGAGCAAAAGGCTGATCCAGAACGTGTACCCTCGCCGTATACTGAAAGAACTCCCCCACTAGGATCTCGTATAGTCACCAGCTGTCGCTCGCAATCGATAACCGCACCGAATCGGCTCAACCAATCCATGCCCACTATAACACAAACATCACCCATCGCAATCGGAATCAGGTCGATCGGAAACTCGACCCCGAATATCTCCAATACACATCCCCGGAAGACCTCTGTAGCACAAATCACCCTGTCGGCGGCTATGGAAACCCGCAGAGGCCGACTCAATACTCCACGACTAACACTGATACGCTGACTAAATGCCAAGGATACAAAAGATCGACTCGCACCCGAGTCAAATAACACTAAAGCGGGTACAGAATTCACAAGGAAGGTACCTAAGCATAGCATGATATAAGCATAATATCTCAACACCGAAAATAAATAATGAAAAGGAAACATACCAGCCACAACGTCGGGTGCAGCGCGGACCTCTTCCGCAGTCAGCTGGAAGGCTCTCCCCGAGCCCTCGGTGCCTCGGCCTTCACGGGCCGACTCTCTGTAGTAGCAGCTCTGATGGCGGCGGGAGCAGTCCCCTGAGATGCCCCGCGCAGCAGCGGACACTCCGCCTTCCGGTGTCCGGTCTGATTGCAGTGGAAGCACACTGCAAATCCCTTGGGGCAGTCCTTAGCCATGTGCCCCTCCTTGCCACATTTGTAGCAAGACCCTGCCCGACAGGCGCCATCGTGACCCTTGCCGCACTTCCCACAAGTGCGGCCCCTCTGACTCCCGGGTCTGGGATCAGCGGGCTTGGCCCGCTTGGCTGCCGGCTGGGACTGTGCCGGTCGCCGATCCCTCCCCATAGACTCCGCCTCCTCCCTGGCCTGAGTCTCAAGCTCAATCTCCCTCTTCCGAGCGTTTGCCTGAAGCTCGGCAAATGTCCGGTACGAGGAGTTCGCAGCGAACTCCCGAATATCCCGCCTCAAAATGCTCAGATAACGGCTCATACGTGCCTGCTCGGTGGACACGTGCTCAGGGCAAAACATCGCCCTCTCCTGGAACATCCTCGTAATCGCTGTAACCGACTCGGTACCCTGCTTGAGGGTCAGAAACTCCTGCGCCAGACGTTCCCTCTCCACCTGAGGAACATACTCATCCCGGAACATGGAAGTGAACCTCTCCCAGGTCACTGCCGAAAGCTCAGTCGGTGTGAAATGCGCAGACACAAACTTCCACCAGTCCTTCGCTCCCAAGCGAAGCTGGTTCAGTGCGAACCGAACCTTCAAATGCTCAGGGGACGAGCAAGTGAAGAAGCATCCCTCCATATCAGATATCCACCTCATAGCTGCCACCGGGTCCTGCGTACCATCAAACTCTGGTGGCTTGGTGTTGCTGAACTCCCTGAATAACGTCGCATCACCTCCCTGGGGTCTCGCCGCAGCAATCGCGCGGTAGCTGCTGCGACCGCAGCCTCAGAAAGAGCGGCATAGCGCTCGTCAAATGTCTCGATCAAAGCGGTCTTAATAGACCCGAACATCTCCGGTATCTCGGCTCTGATGACCGCAGCCACCTCCTCATGAATGATCTGCCGAATGTCCTCATCACTAGACCCGGCATCCTCCGGCATGTGTCGCGTCCTCACCATGATCAACCTCTGAAATACAACATGCGATAATTAGAATTCACTCGAATACTCTTACATTCAACAATCCACCCCTCCTTGACTCTTGGCATCCCCAGATTCTTATTTGGGTCTGTGTACCGCACCGGTGCTTTGAGTAGTACGGGCCCAATACTACTGTTTGCACCGTCTCAGTACACATCCCAAATCGTCCTCTTCGGATCCCAGTCCCCAAGTACTCTATTATACGTAAATCACTCTGGAACAAATCTCACACAAAGCCCTAGCTGCTACCTAATTACTCTCAGCATCTCATAGCAGCTCACCATTCCCTAAGCTAAGGCATCACAAAACAGGCCACTCTAGTCCTATCAGCAATACCTAGCCTGCTCTAGCATGCAAACACATCATAGTAATAATTATTTCATAACGAATAATTTTGGGAATTCACCGTTCGGGCGCTGACTGATCGTACACACGTTTCTCCTGGAAAACCCTTTACTCTTAGAAAATTTTGGTTTTCATTTTTTTTGAAAATGTCTCTTAATTCCTCAGTTTGAGTTCAAATACTCCCGAAGGTGTACCCGAATCCCTCAAACCAAGGCTCTGATACCAATTTGTAACACCGGAAATTTAAAGCCAAATTTTTTTTTTTTTTAAAAACATAATTCGTTAATATTCATAAAACAACCATTTACTTGTTCCTCATAAAAAACAACCATTTTAATAGTTCAACATAACAGTACAAAATCCCAAGATCAACATGTAAAAACTCCAAACGTGTGTGTACGGATCAAGCCGGCGCCTTCCCGCGGTCGTCACTAGCACCTGAAACAAATAAATCAACACTGTAAGCACAAAGCTTAGTGAGTTCCCCAAAATACCACATATAACACATATTAGCCACTCGACTATAACTCTGGGTCCGTGCACCCAAACTCTGTGAACCCTCAGGTTCTAGCTCTGATAAAC